AAAAGCTGCCTTATATTTTAATTTTATCTTCAACCCTGTTTAAGCTGTATGATAAAGCTGTATGTGTCATGCCAGGGACACGGCATACAAATAGACACAGACAGACAGCAGTAGGAAAGACCCTCTGTGCAGGTTATCAACGTCATAGTTGCAGAAGAAGCGACGGTCTGCTTATCCATGAACACATAATTCATGAGGTTTATTATGAGGTTATCAGCTACACGTGTGATCGCAAACAGAAAAGCAGACAGTCTCTTGTTGATGTCGGTACAGAGAAATTAAATTCTGATACATAGAGCCAGGCTTGAGCTCGTGTGCAAATTGACAACGAATGGGAAGAGTGAAAATGACCCCGGAGACATGTACAGTGGTACCAGGACAGGCATGCGCATGCCGGAGTGAAACTGGAGCAACACTGGAGCAGGAGAAAGAAGCATTTTGAAAGAAGACCACTGACCTGTTTGACCTTTTCGACCTTTTCCAACACTTGCTCCTGGAAAAGCTGGAATAGTATTAGATTGCCGTTAGTGTATATACTCAAATAAAAGCTGGGTTTCAAATAAAGGCTGGGTAGTGGTTTACATGGCAAAGCTTACTCTTCATAATACTCTCCTATACAATACTCACCAGCAGCTCCAGTCAGAACCATGAATGCACAAAGAAGTGCACACACAGTCAGCATCTTCATGGTGGAGATGGAATACGTCTGCAGGCAGCAGTCAGTGTCACTGTCAATAACCAAAAAATAACATCGCAATCAATTTAATTACAGTCGCAATCCTAAATTGTAATTTTTATCAATTTTGAAATGCCCTGTCGACTTTATCCAGACTCTGAATAGCCTCTGAATTTCTCAATTTGCACCATTAAAACACACTATTGCATTAAAGATACACAAGGTTTAAAAATGGTGATTCAAATGTGAGTTTAGGTTGTAAACAGAAGCCAAAAGATAACATAATCATAAAATAACAAGTACTCACAACTCAATTGCATTGTTTTCAACACGTCACAAAAAAAGGAACATGAAGTAAGTTAACAACATAGACATCTACTTGGCCGCTCTATCGGTTTGTTCAGATAACACGCACCCTCTTGTCAATAAGATTATGTCAAGTTTGGAAGCAGAAGTAAGAGGACATTAGACTAAATACCGCAATCTCAACAATTTGCCTGAAAAATAGATTGTCTTAGATCACAATCTCTATCTCAAGTCATCAGATTGCCCAACCCTATAAGAGAGTTTGTACTAAACCTGGTGCAGTGTTGTCTTCCTTTTCAGTGTCAGCCTTGCAGTGTTGAGGTGCTGTCAAATAAAAGATCAGCTCTTATATACAGTTGCTTATCTTGTCATCTATCACAGATCAGGCAACTGAGGACACACCCACACCTAAAAACAGCATTATTATCGACCCTGGACTCATGTGACATTATAGTTGTCAGATTGCTCTCTCTTTCAGTTTAAATATAAAAGTTGAAAGCAATATGAGTTAAATACCATTTCAACCCATAAAATTAAATTTAGGTCTGACAAACACAGTTTCATATTTTGCATACAATAGTCAGTACAATTCAAACTCAAAACTATTAAATTCAGATTAACTTTGTACTGGCACTAAAATAGTTCCATATATTACCTTCTACAGTATTTGAATGCACCAATGTAATTCAGGCAGACAGCAGCTGCAGGCAGTTATTAAGGTGAAGATAAAACAAAGTAAATGAAAGAAATAAAAAAAAAATTGATATCTAGGTTATTGGTATTCATTGCAATATTTACGCAAAGGTTATAGTTGGTATTCATGACTATATCTAAAACATAAAACACTTTTACTTGGAGTTTCTTAGTTGCCTTTATGCGTTAGCCTGTTTTATAAAGACTACTTGATCTAAATTCATTATTTGTCTGTCTGATTAATAATCCTCTCTTCCTCACTGTGACACATGCATTGTTTTACACATTGAAATGTGTAATGTCGCTTTTGCGGTTGTTTACACACACACACGTCTACTTCTGAGATAGCAGTTTTTGGGGTCGAAGATTCCCTGGTGAGGAAGGAAGAGGGTGAAGAGACCGTCTACAGACTGGTGGGCTCGATGAATCCTCATAAAAAGGCGCTGGAGTCTCCTACGGAAAACAACAGGGTAGTGAGAGCGCGGGGGAGTCCTTTCTTATGGTGTAAGAACCCAACCCGCGGGGCCTTCACAACATGCAGCCCAGAAGGTGCACTCTCTTCCAAGGAAGTATGTTAGGATGTATCAGTATGGCTGATTCTAGTTCTAACCATATAGGAGAAGACTTCGTGATAGAGATGTCTAAAATGCCCTATTCACTCAGCAACGGGCTAACGTCAATTTAATCAGCCTCATACCGAATAGACCAGTGTGCCAGATAAATAGACTTTGCCAAAAAGACATCTCTAAAGGGAGCCAGCCCAGTTCTGAACAGCGTTCGCTTGGGCACATCATG